CGCGAGTTACCGCCGTATCCGCGATCCGGTGGACCACCGCCGGACATTCCGCCGCCACCACCGCCGCCACCGCCACCGCCTCCGCCGCCGCCGCCGCCACGCGGGCCGCCTCGTGGCGGCGGGAAACCGCGGTTCATGTCACCCGGACCGCCGCCACGATTGTCGCGTCTTGGTGGCATTCCGCCACCGCCGCCACCCCCGGCGCCGCCGCCGCCGCCGCCACCGCCACGGCCACCGGGACCACCGAATCCGCCGACCTTGCCTTGACCATCGGCGCTACCGTAGCCGCCGTACTCCTCGGCGTAAAAGTCGTCGAAGTTGTGCGGGTCGTAAGGATTGTTCACACCCTTCAGCGGTGACTGCAAGATAAAAACTTGTCGTTACTTCCCTTTTCCTCGATGATTGATCTCTTAACGCGTTATGTATACGTAGAGCTTTAATCCATTCAATCATGCACGGAGAGAATTTTCTTTTAAAATTTACTCTGAAAATCATGTTAATCATGAGACAACATAGTATTTCGACAAATTTTATGTGATTTTCTCTGTTTTTTTGCTGTGCACTGCAATAAACTTGTTGCAGTAGTATTAAAAAAAAAAGTAAAACTCATAAAATTCATCGAAAAGTATGTTGTTCCATGACTAACATGATTTTCAGGATAAATTTTAAAATAAAATTCTCTCCGTGTGGTATAGCCAGCGATATCTGGCTAGCCAATTCAAGGATAATTCCAGGACATTCCAGGTAAAAATCCTGATTTTTCCAGGTCGATTAATTTTCATTACTTAATTTTTATTGATTTGCACAATATTATATGTTTTGCACTCAAATTAAAATTCTATATGACGAATCAATTAAAATGCAAACAAATTTAGAACAATATTTATTACTTTATAAATTGCTTGTCTTTTGCATCTTTAAGAGAGAGGTTATACAATCATAAACTTTTCAAGAAACGACGTTACCAATGTCATTGACATAGTTCTTGCACACGCGTAAGAAATATTTTTTATTTCTTTCTTTTTTGCGATCCAATTTTTTTAAAATAAAAGAATGATAAAAATTCAATGTCAATCTCGAAACTTCAGGAGTTTTCCAGGACACATTAAATTCCATAATAATTCCAGGATTCAAGGACATTCGATCGTTGAACACCCTAATTCAAGAAAGACAAACTATCGACGTATCGTTTATAGTTACAAAAAAATCGTAGTAATGTATTCGAACGATGTGTACAGGAGGATATAAAATAAATTATCTTTTTCGTGCCCATACAAAAAGGAAACATTTGCCCGTACGTGAGAAATATAATGAGCGCAAGCTATTAAAGATTTATAGGAGTCATGATCTGGTATACTCACGGTCTTAATGGTGGCGATCAATTCGCGTATGCATTCGATGCACGTCGTGGGTTTCCCGCAGATGCTAATGAGGCGATCCGTGCTGCGGGGGCAGGTGATCGAGTAGATCTTGATCCTGGCTCCGGTTTTCTGAAACGCAAAAAGATATTCGGGCGCGTTAGACGACATCTAACACGAGGGTACGGAAGTCGAGATAGAGCTCGGGGGGGAGAATACTTTCCGCGTACGGATCTGCATTGAAAAGAAGACTAGCACGACTGCACGATCTACCGTTACGATTGGACAACTTGGCAGCATCGGCTAAATAACAGTTCTCTCCAACATCTTTCAAACTCGGAATGCGTGGTCACGTAAGAAATTTGTTGTCAAAGATTTCGAGAGATTTCATATTTCTGCCTTGTATTCCTCCCATTCCTTCGAGTGATACCTGATCGCTGACGCAACGAAGTGAGTAATAAGGCGATTGCGTTAGTTTGACTTTAAGAGAGGCTTAAAACTCTTGTCTCTCTTTAAAGCGTCGTTTATATAATGAGACTTGAGACTTAAGATTTAAGAAAGTTGACCAATCACAATCGATTATTTTTCTTACGTGAGATGAATAATCGACTGTGATTGGTCATTTTTTCACGGAAAAAACGATTTTGTTGGAAGGTCTAACAATTTTGCTGGATACAGATCTGAAAATAATTCTTGTTGGACTATCAAAATAATTTCGTTGGAAAGTTAAAAATGACAAGCATTGCTATAGAACGGTTTTGATATTCTAGCAAACAGTTTGACTTTTCGACAAAATTATTTTGATGTTCCAACAAAAATTATTTTCAGATCAGTCCAACAAAATCGTTTCTTTCTATAATCTTAAATCTTAAGTCTTAAGTCTCATTGTAGACGCCGCTTAAAGCCCATTCTACAATGAAACTTAAGACTTAAGATTTAAACTTTGAACCTTAAACCCTAAGCGTTAAGACTTAAACCGTTACATTGTACGTAGTGTCTACAATAAATAAACGTTGTAAGATTATAACTTTAAGCTTTAACGACCAAGCATCCAATCAGAAAGCAGATGCAAGAAAAGGCAATGGAAGGCAGTATGATGATTGGTTCTTATATCGCGCTCGACTTTAAGCCGTAGACTTTTAGCCATAAGAATTGAGATTTCGTCAGTGTCGGTCCACAATAAGGATTTTAAGCCTTAAGCAGTAAGAAATAGACCAATCGTAATCGAATATGAGAAGAATAATCGATTGTAATCGGTCGATATCTTACGGCGTAAGGCTTTAAGTCCTTATTGTGGACCGACACTTAATTCGCTTAAGGATTAAAGTTAAAGCTAAAGTAAAGGCGGGAACGTCTTACGAACGGAAATGACATCACGAATTAATGCCTTAAAGCTTAAATCTTAAGTCTTAAGTTTCATTGTAGAATATGAGCTTAAAAGAGAGAAAGAGTTTTAAAAGCCTCGCTTGGAAATCAAAATAATGTCGGTGCAAATTGGGCCTGACTCAACTCCTCGTGTGCGCGCGTTCAAGACGCGTTCTTTTTAATTACTCCGACAATCATGGCATGAGTCACGAGCAAGGGTGTGATACACTACGTCTGCCTCCCCATCAGCTCTCACCCCCCCCCTCTCCCTCACCTTAACCCCGTGGTTAACGACTTAACGATGCTCGAATGTTTTCGTATATACCCTCGCTCCGCTCTCCTCGCCGCGTGGTTTCTAAGTAATGCACCTCGGGACGACAATGCTCAGATCGCGTGCTGATAGCGCGTTTAACCCGTGCTTTACCGAGATTACGATCACGCCACGTCGCCGAGACGTGTACACAGCCATTCGTGGTGGCACTTGAATTTTTCTTAAGGCTCTCTAATTCGACCTGTCGTTCGCGTCGTAAAGCAATCAACCCGCGAAAGCGCTCTCGATATGATAACGGATGGAGAGTTTCAGCGGACTGTAAGTGAAACGAAATAATTTCGCGCATTGGCACCGGAGGGAGCGGGAGGGGGAGGGTAAAACGGAGGGCAAGGGAGGAGGGAGGAGAGGGAAAATCGGGGAAACGATGAATTGACGGACAGTGAAGCGCACGGGAAGGGGGGGGGGCGGGAATGTACGCGCGCGCGCGCGGAGATAGCTTTGATGCGAGAGAGGTAAAAACGAAAAATTGCCGATAACATCGACAGCCGTGTGCTCAAACGCGAAATATCCAAAACAGATAACAATCTAGTCCCGCTCGCGCAGATATACATATACACCGCGTGCCGCCGCCGCCGCCGCGCGTCCGGTGGTATTGTGCGGAGAAATCGCGCCGTTTAATTACGCAGATCAAAGCAACCCGGCCCCCCGGCCAACCCCCCGGTCTCCCCCGCCACGTACAGGTCCATTCAAACGCTTCCGACGCAGACAGAGTCCGGCGATATTGAGGCTTGCATTGCGTTCTGGATACGGCGTTAATCCCAGAGTGATGGAGTAGTCGAAGGGTGTATAAGACAGAAGGAGAAAGGGAGAGCGCGAACGCAATTTATACACTCTGGAAGTTTAATCGACTCAGTTTCACGGTGCGAGCAATAGTGCGATTTTTCCTTTTTTGTAGAAAGAGAGAGAGAGAGAGGGAGAGAGAAATAAAGGCAAGATAGTGTTGCTTCGACATAGCGAGGAAACAATCGATGCCGTTCGATTGGCAGCGAATAAATGGCGAGCACAGGCAGTATCGCTCCTTCTCGCACAGATACCTATATATATAATTGGTATATATATAATGGAATTCATAAGCGGAGAACGGGCCGAGAAATAAAAGCCCGTGTCGCAGTGTTGTATAACCACCAGCTGCAATTCGGCTCGACCGTCGCGATTTGAAAGAAAAATCGATCGGGACCGCCCCGCGTGTTTCGCGGAGCGGCGCGGTGTTTACACGGCACGCGCCGCGCCGCGCCGGGGGCGGGAAAGAGCGGGGAATGTGATTTTAATCGAATTAATTAATTCTGCTGATCGCGGGATCGCGAATCAGCCGGATTGATCTCGGCAGCGAACGGGCGCGGATTCTTACGCGCGACAACGGTTTCGGATTGACAAGGATTGTTCCTGCGCACGCCTGCAGCATTATCTCCCTGACGTTCGAATCGTTTTCGCATTTTACCGGAGCATTTTGCGAGAGCAAATCTCGTTGACGGTATCGAGCTTTCATCAGGTTTGCCACAAATTCTTCATTCTAAAATTTCACGACTTTTCCCTGATTTCCAGACAAAATTTCATAATTTTCCCTGGATTTTAATAATATTAAAACAATTTTTTGTATGTTCGTCTTGATTTGGAAACTGTTAAATATTTTATTGAGAGCAATTTAACACAGCAATGTAAATTACTGTTACTGTTGTTGACATTGGTTGCACTAATTATCAAGTTGTTAGTATTCCTTTATCTTTTTCTTTCATATATGCGCACAATTTTTTTTCTTCCGCTTAGAATACTTCCGCTTAGGAAAATGTAAATATAGTTTCTTTTTGATAAAAACTAAATCCTGTTTATTGGAATCTCCGACTGCACGATCTGCATTAAAAAGAAGACTAGCACGACTGCACGATCTGCCGTTACGATTGGACAACTTGGCAGCATCGGTTAAATAACAGTTCTCTCCAACATTTTTCAAACTCGGAATGCATGGTCCCGCAAGAAATTTGTTGTCTGGCTATTATACAAAGGTTTACAGATTTGAATGAAAAATTACAAAAATATGAAGTCAAATTTAATTTTATTAATTTGTTCATAAGTGATACAAAAAACTTACAAGTAAATTAAAAAGAGACAGTTTTAAATAAATTTAAAGTTCCAACAAAACATAAACAAATTGAAAATTCTAATACTCTTAGTAAAGCATTTTAAATTTCTATTAAAAAAAGAATTTACATTACCTAACAAAACTGTATTAATGTGTGATATATGTACACCTATTAAACTTCTTTAAAGCCAAGAATTTTAATTTTCCAGAAAATTTCGTAAAATTTCCTGACTTTCCTCTGATTTCCATGACCGTTCTCAATTTCCCTGACTTTTCCCTGATTTCCAGTTTTGTGGCAAATTCCTGTTTCAGTTATATCGGACGTGTGTATCTCACGATTTCCAAAAAAAGAAGCACAAATGGCGCGTTGGCGTTTTATTTGTTTATTCCGCACACCGCGAAAGTAAGATTAATCGGCGTGGGAGCTGAGCTATAGCGGACCTTGATAATTAATCGAAGAGGCTCGCTTAGAAAAGAGAGGAAAATAAAAGGTAAAGATGAAAAAGCTTCTTGCTGCAGTGCTTCTTGACTCGCGTTTCTTGCAGAGAAAGGAAGAGAGGAGTGGTGAAAGAAGCGAGACGTTGCCGGGGGGGGGGGGGGAAGAGGAATCCTCGAAGGAAACTTCCGCTCACCCGCCCTGGACTCTCTTCTTCTGACACTCGATATCGGTAAACTCGAAAAGAACAAACGCGAATCGATCCGTCCTTTGAAGGGAACCAGCGTGCCATACATAGCAGCGTAAAGTAGGAGCGCGTGCGGCGCGCTGCGCAAGATTATTTCGCTCGAGACATCGAGCGATATTACAATGCACCACGTACAGCCGCACCGAAGTTCTCTGTCACGCGCCCTTGATCGTCCCGCCCGCGCCGCTGCAGCTATACGGATTTTCAATTTTCCATAAAGTTTCCGAACTTCCGAAACTTCCCGCGCGCGTGCGCGCGATCGCGGGGACTTCCCCGGTTTTCCTTCCTTCGAGAAAGAGAGGGAGAGAGAGAGAGTTCCACGTTTTCTTGAATATTCAAAGTTGACGGAGAGATAATTCCGCGCCCAAGGTTGCAAGGTCGCGAACTTGAAACCATTATGTCATCTCGTGTATACGAGCGCAGCTAAGAATATATGCTATACATACGTAAAGAGCTCTAATTAATCTCTCCGGAACAACTTTTATTTATATATCATCCGCGACTGCTGCGCGCGATGCCATCTCCACGCGAGACGCTTATATTAAACGCAAAGAGGTTTGTATTAGAAGATTAAAGTGGCTGTAACGTGCTTATGGTAATTCGGCGCAAACACATCCACAGGAGGACTTCAAAGTCCTTCTGGCTCTGGGAGGATAACCATACGGAGAGGCGCGGTTTCGCGAGAATAAACCGCACCGCGCCGCGCCAAATTCGCGTTTGCTCAACAGTTCTCTCTCCGTCGCAGCGGCATCCGCGTGCAGGCACAAGTTTACAAACTTCCACGGTATAATTACCGGCGGCGTCATGCACTAATCTAAACGTGAATCGTACTATTCAATTCGACGCGACGAACGGAAGTTCCGTCCCGACGACGGCAAGTTTCGCGCCGACGAGCGCGCTTTTACGCAAAGGCCTTACGAATATTGCGACGATTACAAAGTGCGTCAGTGCTAAGCGAGTCGAAGATACACGTTATCGCTTGGCGCTAAGTGCCGCGCTAGTTTGCCTTATTTTATTAGAGCACTCAAAGATATTTTTAAACACAATTTCGTATTTTCGTTCCAGTTACACCGTTGGCGTCAGTCGTTCACAATCGGAAAGGGACTTTTTGTATTTCACAGCATGTCTGCAGCGATATCTGGCTAGCCAATTCAAGGATAATTCCAGGGCATTCTAGGTAAAAATTCTGATTTTCCCAGGTCGTTTAATTTTCATTACTTAATCTTTATTGATTTGCGCAATATTATATTTTTGTTCAATAATCAAAATAATTTTGTGCGAAAGTCAAAATGATTGCTAAAATATCAAAATGTTTTATAAAAATATACTTATTAGTTTTAACATTCCAACAAATTATTTTGATGATTCAATAAAAAATTATTTTCAGATCTGTTTTTAGCAAAATTTTTAGACCTTTTAACATAATCGTTCTTTCCGTGCAATGTTATCGATACAGTTTTTGCACTCGCGCAAGAAATATTTCTTATGTCTCTCTTTTTTTACGATCCAATTTTTTCAGAATAAAAGAATGACAGAAATTTAAAGTCAATCCCGAAATTCCAGGGGTTTTCCAGGACACATTAAATTCCATAATAATTCTAGGATTTAAAAATATTTAAAAATCGCTGGACACCCTGTATTTTCTAACCTCAATTTTTATTTCGTTTCTTAATACATCGATAAGCAAATTTTCATCAGTGGTCAATTGATTATCTTAGGGACGTACCGAAATTTGTGTATCCGAAGGCGAATTAAAAATTAAACAAATTTTGCGAGAAATGAATTACGATGAAAATAATTCACATCTATAATAGATTCCTTGCAAAAGAGTAACGAGGAAAATGCCGTCTCGGACGGTTTTGACAGCTCGAAAGAATTATACGTTTGAGTAAACAAATTTTTGCTAATGAGCATAAGTTTAATAGATCATGCTTTCCGATTATAGCGACGCCTTTACCTACAAACCGCGATTCTACTATTCTGCAAATCATCGCTAGACGGATACCACCCGAGGTACACCACTTGATGCATTTTCATGAGATCGTAGTTCATATGGAGACACGAAATTCATACGCATTCACGACAGGCCGTCCGTGAGGAAAGACAGCCATTCACTTTGCTCCCACGATTCGCCATTGATTCAACAATTGTGCAGTGACTTCAAAGTGACACTGTATGTAAAAAAAAACGTTGTATATAGTCGCGAATAATCTCTGAAGACACCTATTTCTTTCGAACCAGGTGAGAGGAAGCTACGACACAAAAATTCCGTGACACGTAAATGTCACAAGATCGTCGGGCTATGCGAAACGAAATATTCGCGTTTTACGAATCGCCATGGCTATCACCAAAAACAATACAGTCGGTCTCGCGAGAACGTATACATCACATCGGCAAGAAAATTTAAAAAATATATATAATTTCTTTTTTACATTCAATGGCTGCGTCCAGAAAAAGCGGCTTTGCGCAACTTGTAAAATTCTTTAACATATATGATTGGTTTATACATTTAGATTCATGAAAAACTATAAGGGCAAAAATCATGTTGAATCTCATAACAGTTGCAAAGCTCTTTTTCCTGCTGAACGCAGCCAATGACTGCGCAATATGGCCTCGGTCTCCATTGTTGTTCATTAATATTTGATTTCAGACAATGACTGACACAATGCGATGCTTTCGACTAATTTTCCAGCGTAGCTGAAGCGAGAAAGCGATTCATACTTGCCGGATTTAATATAAATGGTTATATATATAATATATATAATCAGTTGTGCTATCTCATATATATATATATATATATATATATATATATATATATATCTCGCTTTCTCTCTGCTATGCTAGAAAACTAGTCGAGAGCGTCGTCAGGCACTAATAAACAATAAAGATTGAACGATACTTCAGGCAATAACGAAATAAATCACTGAATACTTTAAAATACTATATACTTCTTTTAATTCACATAAACTTTTACGCTCATAATGTATACGCTTTTGTGGGACTGATTGTAGATCTCCGAAGAGTCCGAAGTTCTTCGGATTATCCCTTCTATGCTCCAACGCATCTCGATCACTGTATATGTAGATTAAAATTTATATTCCCTGTGAATTTATATCCCCTACTGGATTTAAATAATGGATACAATAATGAATGTCAATAGATAATCAAAAATTTTGATTCTCGATCTGCATTCGCATCTATACGTAGACCTCAATAAATAGTATAACGATCGATTAAGTATTAATAACGCGGAAATACGCTGTGCGGATTCCACGTCAGTCGAAATTGGACGAAGATATGTGCAAGGGAGACCATAAAATAAATAAGATATCACCGTGCTCGATACACCGTGCGCGCGCGCGCGCAACGTTTCGTTGGAAATGTTGGGAGAGAAACACGGAGAAAAAGAGAATTCGCCGTACGAGAAAACTGTTTCATGGACGTGAAACGCGACAGGTACGAGAGACCCGCTTTCGCCGTCGACATCCGCTAGGAGAAACGAAAGGAAGGTGCTGCAGTGGCTCTGAATACGCGAGATACGCGGGAACGCGACAAAGCGCATCGTCGTCGTCGTCGTCGTCGTCGTCGTCGTCGTCGTCGCCGCCGCCATCGCTGTTGTCACTGCGGCCGTGTCGTTTCGTTTACCGCCTGTTTTCCCTTTCAAAGTGCTCCCGCGCGCGACCGATCTCCGGCCGAGATCGGGTCAAAATAGACCGGCGCGCACGTGCGTCGTCCGAAGGTGACACGAAGGCGAACCTTCGCGGCTGGGGGGGTCTTCGCCGAAAGGTCCAATAGTCGTCCAATTGTATACATATACACAATACACTGCGGCGGAGAAACATAGCCGATAAGAGAATTACAAATATTGTGTTAGCTCGAGGTAGCGAGGGGTATCTGGCCTGGGGGATTTCGCCTTCTCCGCTATTCTTCACAGAGAATCATCCGCTTCTCCTTCTCAGCGCGGTGCACCATGACGGACATCTATACGATCGACGAGGTCGCCGGACACAACAACGCCCAGGATCTGTGGATCGCGATACACGGCGCGGTCTACGATATCACGGACTTTCACAAGGAGCATCCCGGCGGCGAGGAGGTGCTGCTGCAATTAGCGGGGCAGGACGCGACGGAATGCTTCGACAGCATCGGCCACAGTTTTGAGGCGATCAACCTGCGCGAGAGTTACAAAGTCGGCGAGCTGGTGGACGGTGGTGCGAGCTCCGGCAAATCAACGACGACAAAGAAGGATACTGCAGGTTTGACAATTCATTCCTTCCCTCGATCGCCTTTTCGCTTCGAATCGCATTTGTCGCGTGATTTCATGCTATATATCGCATGATTTGTCGCTCGAATCCGTTTAGCTTGTGAATTTAACATCGCGCTATAAACAAAAGGTATATCGAGCTTCCATTCGCAGTGTTTATGTTGTCGGCAAATATAAATTCATATATATATATTATTATATTATATCGACTCTCCACATATTTTCTTTAAATTCTATATATATTATATTTCAATGCTCGCTCTTAGACTGTTTTAAACATTTGCATTACGTCAACGATCATGAATAATACACAGTAAAATGTTATTGAAACACTCATTATAATTATCCTACATTGCGCTGCCGTAGGTGAGTGACCATTCATATGTCGTGGTCATAAATCATTTGCCTTTTAACATCATTAGTCATTAAGCTCTTCAGGAACCATTTTCTTATTTATTTGTAGAGGTAAAAGAATCAACGGAGGACGACTGGCAGTATCAAGAATCGAAATCACAAGCGTCGTCCTGGTCCTGGTTGCTCATAAGCCTCGCCGTCGCGATTTATGTCTTCATAATTGCCTACTGGTTCAAAAAATTAGTGGCATAAGACGATTCACATGCGTGTGATATATTAATTTTAGCATAACGCTAAAATTTGCAAGCCTGTTAAGTCTGTTTCTCTTGCTTGTTAAATCTCTTAGAATAATTTATTATTTATCAGCGATTGTAAAACTTCGTCTCTGTTCTCGCACAAATACTTTATCGGATATACATTTATTTGAAAACTCGTTATTTATTATTTAGAGAAATAAGAATATAAATTAAACGGATATTTCTTAGCTTAATCTCTTTTGGCTTGATTTTAACGATTTCTTCGATAAAATGAACGAGCTCTGTTGCTTATTATAACCTTCTTATTTTGCACTTAGCGTGTCCGTATAATTTTGTGCGTTGTAATGTTTGTGATGAAGCAAACAATCGAAAGAAATAATTCAGAGGCATATAATTTATCGTTATAGTGAGTCTTCTCGTCTTAATATTTACGTAATTTTGGTATGCGTTTTATGTACACGGAAAGAACGATTTTGTTGAAAGATCTAAAAATTTTGCTAAAAACAGATCTGAAAATAATTTTGTGTTGAATTATCAAAATAATTTGTTGGAATGTTAAAACTGATAAGCATTGCTATAAAACGTTTTCATATTCTGGCAATCACTTTGTCTTTGACAGAAAATTATTTTGATTATTGAACAAAAATTATTTTCAGATCTGAATTCACAGCAAAATTGTTCTTTCCGTGTACGCGCGATATATTTAATCTTTATATTCCATCGAAAATGTACGTCGATAGGAAATATCAGCGAGCTCGTCTAAAAGTGTCTCGGAAATGAATCGTGCGCCGTTCGCAAGTACAATTTGCATTCAATGCGGAAAAGCTGTCATTCCGTGACCGAAATTATGAAATTAGTTGATAACGAAGTATCTTTATATATTTATACATATATATAACAAGCGCATTATCGAGTATATTAACGTCCGCATTTTCGCTACTGTCCATTCCAAATGTTGCGTTATTACGCAAAAATTAGAGAAAAGAAATATCTAATCACACGCGCGCCAACATATGTACATATTGTATTACGTACATATTGTACATATGAATATTACATAGCACGAAAAAAAAAACTGCGCCGAAAGAAGCAATTTTTTCACCTGTTAAAATTACGTTCGAGCAATAATTTTTAAATGGTCGTTATGTCAATTGAGTTATTATACGAAATCTACAGAAAAACGTTAAAGCGCTCATTCATTAGTTTTAAATTGCATACTCGTAAAAGGAAAATATGTATATGCGCGTAAGAAAAGAAAAATACAGACACGCATATGTATACATATACGCACGTGTATTATTTTCTTTCTCTTTATAGGCGTTTAACAAACGTCAGTGCGATGTAACGCGCTCACAAAAATGCGAGCGACCAGCTCGACTATATCATGCTTATCTTCTTGCGATTTGCGCGGCGTCACCGTGACTAGACGCTTTTGCATATGAATCAAACATCATGCCCGCGCAGTACGTGAGTTCACAAGCAGGAATAGTACCTAGTAATTTTATACAAAAACGTCAGGAGAAATCGCTATTATTCTCATTGCCTCGTGTCTTCGGTTTACGACAGAATTTTCGAAAGATCTTCCCGCGATAATTAAGATCATCGTCGCGCGTGGAAATAAACCTCAAGGAGAGAAAAATGTAATGTACGCATAATATAAATATCGCGCGCGATATATGTTTATTAATTGATACGCTGACTGTACAACTGGCTTCAACAAAAACTGCAAAAAAAATGGAGATATTTTTTATTCGTCATGCTTATTTAGCTAATAAAAAAAAAATTCTTCCAATAAATGGAAAACAAGATTCCTCGCAGTGAGAGCGTGATGAAGCGAGACTATATAAGTATTTCTCCTGACGCTTTCTTGGAAAGTACGTCTTAAAGTATTGATGTTTCTAAACACTTCGGTATATAAATTGTATATGTTATTAAACTTCAGACTTAAATCGGCAGAATTGCCTTATTTGGCGATACTTCTCTATCTTGCAGAGATCTTATCGTTAGAAGTGAATTCGCACCGCGCGAAACGTGGCGTATACCTATTCTTATTTAACAGGGACGCTCTGCGCGCGATCAACGACCGTGAATTACAATCTGTTATCAATGAGCTTCTCGAAATGAGATATTCGGGGGGGGGGGGGGAATTTCGCGGCCCAGGTCATGAGAAAAAAACTAGGATATTATTGCAAATTCGCAAAGACTTGTGCGCGAGTCAACCATTCGAGTCTGCCGCCTATAAGGGGCAACTGCGCCGCAACTTAACGGCGCGTCAGCGTTGTCTTGCTGTACAGAAGCAACGACTGGCAACGTTGCGGCTGGCCTCCAGATAACGACGAGGATAGAACTGGCTGTGCGGTGGGGTCCGAACGAACGCGACCAGAGGAACAAGAGGTGGGGATCATAAAGCTCTACGAGCGACAGGCCGGATTCCGTAGTGTTCACGCGAGTGCGGCTCCGAGGAGAGGTTTCACGCGCGACGTTTCTCATCGGCGAAGGTATCATCGAGCTTCACACCTGCGTGTGATTTGCGCCGCTGCTGCCTCGCCTTTCTCTCTCTCTCTCTCTCTCTCTCTCTCTCTCGTCTCGTCTCTACCGAAAAAAGTCGACGTGTCCTTCGTAACACACCCTTCGAAGGTGCGAAGAGGAGGTACGTGGGCTCGGTGAACGTACCTCGTCACCGTGAATTCGTCGCGGATGAGCTTTTTCGCGCGAGGACTCGACCAGGATGAGCCATCCGTTTCGGGAAACGGACCTCTCCCCCCGCCCTTCCCTAACGATTCGAACATTTCTCGAACTTGTCACTTCGCTCGACGACGATCTTCGTTCTCGCGAATCGTTATCTCTGTGTCGCGAGTGTGTACTCGTACACAACATCGGATGAAGTTCAATCATTGTAGAGGTCGAATCCATGATCCTTAAGCGACGTATATTGACTTCTCAATAGTAAACGTAACGGAAAGTGAAAGACGTAGAAAAGTATACGGTATATCTCTCAAGTGGTGCGGTTGGAAATATCTCTCGCTCGAAAAACATTTTCGCCGTCTTTCTGCGGAGAGAATTTTATTTTAAAATTTATCCTAAAAAATCATATAATTATTAATCGTAGGACAACAATGGTATTTCGACAAATTATATGTGTGATTTTCACTATATTTTTTAATATAGTGAAAATATAACAACAAATTTATTGTAGTGCACAATAAAATTTATTGCAATGTACAATAAATTTTTTGTCGAAATATTATACTGTTCCACGATTAACCATAATTTTCGGGGTAAATTTTAAAAAGAAATTCTCTCCGTGATGATGCCTTCGTCACTTGAAAAATTACGCGACGTATCATTACGCAAATTTCGAAAAGCCTATTAACCAATCAAACTAATAGCTGTCACCAATCCTACGGCAACAGCGCGTGGCGTTCAACGGAAGCTACTGCTTATCGAAATCGTTAAGCCCGATAGTCGCGTTGGCGCTTCTTCAAATTAACGGATTAGACAGCAAAAAAAAATACTCCACGCGCAAGTGTTGGATTTATCGAGTCATTAATTATTGCGAGGTGCAACTGGTTGCGTGACAGATGTTTGTCCGGTGCTATACCATCTGCGAAGTGATTTGACTAGTCACTTGAAAACGTCACCGTCGCTCGCGAGTATATAATAGATTACATCTCCGACAACAACAATTTTGCAGCGCGATCGAAAATAACTGTGTGATATCCCTTGGTAACTGAACGCTCGTTACGCAATCGCTCCGTCGACCTCGATGTGATTACACTGAACTGACTCCGGTCGCTCGTCGGGCGCCCGTGAAACGCGCGTGCATGACGTTCCTTAATTTATATGACGTCACACTTCTAAATTCGCCGACTGCGCAGAAATTTACTCACAATTACGTTATGATCAAGATAAGATAAACGTTTCTTCGAGATTCAAAGTCGTTATCGGTCGCGACTCTCTACGATCGTGTGGCACCCATCCTTGTGGATAGATCAATTGAAAAAGATATATATAGGAATCGCACTTTGTGACGGCACAAAGTCGCTCACACACATTCTTACTGCGTTAACGCGAGACAAGTGGAAAAAAACATTTTACGTAATACATGTCGAAGATCTCTTACGAATGTCGAAAACAATTCTAATAAATTCTTCGTCTCTCTTTTAGATCGACTGCTTGCACGTGGGAAGAGCTGTAGAGCGAAAGATCAAGCGGCGGTGATGGCGGAGAAGAGAGTATTCACGCGGAGCGAGGTCGCGAAAAACGACGACCGCGACAAGGCCCTTATCATCCTGCACGACAAAGTATACAACGTCCACAGCTTTCTCAATGAGCATCCGGGCGGCGAGGAGGTCCTGTTGGATCACAAAGGCCAGGACGGCTCCGAGGACTTCGACGACGTCGGGCATTCGAAGGACGCGATGGAGCTGATGAAGACGTACCAGGTCGGCGTGCTCGCCGAGTCGGAAAGGACGAACAAATCGCCGAAGAAGGGCTGGGTGGCGGGATATACGAAGAATGCGGAAAAGTACGTTCAGGGACCTGGCGTGCCTTTCTACCTGCTCGTAGGCGGAATCGCGCTTCTAGTGGGCCTCTACTTTTACGTGTAATCATCAAGCAGCCGGGATTAATTCGCGAAAGCGCTGTGGACGTGTGATAGTGCGACGTGTGATATACGATGAAAGAATATTCTCGTATCAGTCTCTATATGATAGCCAAAGCGTATCTCAAACGATTAACTTCCTCTTCTTCCAACCGAAGTCTTATACTTTGTACTTTATGTATCCGTCGAACGCGTCACGCTCCGTTATACGAATAGTTAATGTTCCGATTAACGTTAATACTGTCAGTATCTAAGCATTGTTTTATTGGAATATACACAATGTTTTTTTTTTATACGCAGAATATAAATGTAAAATTAGAATTAATCGCTAAGACGCTAATGCAAGAATGATAAATTTTTAAATCAGTCGGCGATTTTTTAAATAAAATCAGAACATATTTAGACGGATTAATTTTAATCGTTGAATTAAGCGATTTTATTACACAGAGTAAATTTTATATCTGACGTCTTATCTTATCTATGATGTTATTCTCTCTGTTGCATCTTGCCATTTTATCTTTGATGTTATTCTCTAAGTAGCAAATTGGCTTTAATCCAAAGTAGAAACCAAGCAAAAAGTGTTGTTTACGTGAATCAGACACAATTAAATTAATAATATGCCCGCATTTTTAAAAATTTTTAAAAATTAATTATATAAATATCTTTAATTTAAATTTGAATTTATTATGAAATTATAAGCATTAATTTCAGAAAAATATTAATGTATTAATTAAAAATATAAATTTAAATAAAAATTTTTATTTAAACATGTAGTAAAATTGGAAAATTATTTGAAATAAATAGATAAAATAGATTACAACTTAAAAAAATGTTTAAATGTTGAATTATTCTTGTTTACTCTTACTAATTCAACAAATTGTTTTCGATAACGTGTATATCTACAAGTTTAATATGTTTAGAAAAATTTCGATCTAGATAATGCTATCGCTTTTATAAGCTTCGATTTGTATCGCTCTTAATTTGTATTTACTTCTTAGATAAGTAAAAATAAGAACATAAATGTATCAATTATTTTATCTAAGATATACATTTCTACTTGCCGATAAATTCATTGTTAATTTTCGTGCGACACGTTGTGTTTTTAAATGCCTCAAAAAATTTTTGGCGTAAAATAAATTGTGGCGTTTCACTGTCTATTCTTGCGAATTGTAAAACGATAACTTCGTAAATTTTCACAATCCAATGTAGGGCCCTTCTCATTTGTTTCCTTTTTTCGCGAGATAGATGAATGAATCATTATTGTCGCTTGTGTTCGGAGACAACTAATTGCAAAAATCAAGCGTTTTAATAGAGGAAACCAAGTGTCAGCTGGTTAACTGAAGTGTAAGAATTTAACAACACGCGAAGCGCGACATGTGAAATCGAGAGAGAGAGAGAGAGGGAGGAGAACGTGGGATGGAGAGAACCGACAGTACCCATTCGAGACACTAAATGACACGTGCGTATGTTATTCGCGAACGCATACGTGCTATCAAACGAAGTAGAGTATAAACAATTATATACCTCTTATGCATCGCCTATACACATTTGTATCGCGCAAGAAACGCGCTTTCCAGATACACGAACGCGCGAGGAGCCATTACTCGAATAAGAGCTTTCATTGTACTTATATAATTGGCGTGATCCGCTTGTTAGGCGCTCCACCAGGACCTGCAGGTAATTGTCATGTACCGCTACCGACGCTAATTGTAACCCAGGACGGACGTTACGCGTCTCGCGGCCGTCCACGTGTTGGCGTTTACACGCCCGGCCATCCGGGCGGTCCCGTGTCGCTTTTCCGAACAAGTGGTGGAAAGTGGTCGCGCATTGTCGCGCCGCGCCACGTCCGACTATCTCCGTCGCGTCGCGGCGCGGCTTCGCGCATGCATGCCCGCGTGTTGAAACTCACGATGAGGCGGAGGAGAAAAGGGGAGAGGGGGGGGGCGCGGTGACATATGTGGAAAACCGCATATCCTTCCTGTCAACCGTCGGCCATCTGCTTTACATACTGACTTCCGGCGCCGGCGGAAACTTTGAAACGGCACCCAAACCCCCTCCCGGCTTCTCTGGGGGTCGCGGGGTTCTTCAACTCTCATAATTCTCTCTCTCTCTCTCTCTCTCTCGTAACTCCGCGCGCTTTTCGTCTCCCCTTCTCTTTCTCTCTTTTTTTCACCTTTCCCCCCACCTCTCTCTGTCTCTCTCTTCCTCCCCCCCTCCCGCCGCGAATCCTTTGATGCTATGTAAAGGGATGACACTTTCGCGTGCATGATGACGGTCTCGCATGTTGGAGACGTTCGTATTGTCTTGTTTCACTGGCGACACTGTAATGCACTCACGGTGCTCTGAACACGATAAAGACATAACGACACAGAAAAAAAAATCGTCGCCGGTGACGACAACTTATATAGAACAACTTCTATATAAGCAAATTGAGCGCGAATTGAAACTAGTCAAGATCCTAATCTACATTAAAATATCTCGTACTTTTCGATATCAAACAATTGCGATTCGTTCGTCGTGTAACTCTGATCCATCCAATCCGAGGAAATTTTCATCCGTTCCTACATATATATATATATATATATATATAAGCAACTGTACAAATTAAGCGAATTAAAACAGAAATGTAAGATCATACTGATCTAGATACAAAAGATCTCGATACTATTCGATATCAAATAATTACAATTACGCAATCCGTTCGTCGCGCAACTCTAACCTAGCCAATTCGAGGGAATTTTTCACCCGTTCCACGTTTTCCCTGCCGGCGCGGACGGCGGCAAAGGATCGTTTACATTTGGATGCCAGGGCAAAAACGCGACTTTTTTTTTCTTATTTCTATTTACCGACCTCTCGATGGCGCGCGCTCGCCGTCGTTCTCTTTGCGAGGAAGCGGAAACTCGATACGGTCCCTTTGAAGGGTTCAGGATTCCCTCTCCTTTTCCACCCGGCGAAACGTAACTTTAAAAACACCGACACGTGTGTGTGTGTGTGTGTGTGTCTCAGTGTGAGGCGAGCGTAAATTTTTCAAAGGATTTAATGCAACGCCACTCTAAGAAAATCGTCGCGGCGCGAGTAATGCGAGGCCAGTTAAATTTCACGTTTCAGCTGCAGTAATTTCCGCTTATTCTACCCTCGTGATTTCGCGGTCGCTCGCGAGCCGCATTAAGTCGCACCGCGTGTCAAGAGATTGACAGAAGGCTAACAGGCGATACGGACAGATGCCATGATGACGTCGCACCGCCGCGCCGGCCGCGACGATTTAAACGCTTCCCCGCACTGAATGGGGAAAGACGCAGCAAGAAACAATTCGGTCGCGCGGAGTCGTCGGGAGTCCGGAGTCGTTCCGCGAGGCGCGGGCAGGAAACGGGAAGAAAGGTGAGGTGCGCAAAGAAAGAAAACGAATCCGCGGTAAAACGAGGAGAATTCTCAAATGGACGTAACGAGTTCTCGGCAGTTTCCCGGTTGCTTCTTGCTACCGCGTCCATCCCTGATTCCACTCTTGCGCTTCCCCTTCCCGTCCCCCCTCTCCCCCCTACCTACACCGCACGTCCATGTCTCACGAAAAGGAGCAATTTTTCCAATCCCTCTTAGATAAGACGCTTTAACAGAGAGAGAGAGAGAGAGACCAGGAAGGTGGGTACTCAAATTTTGTAAAAGAATTTCCTGAACTTTATTGAAAATTCCAAGTAAGATTAGAGAATTTCTCAATACAGCTTTAAAATAATTTAGGCACTAAGTGTTCTAATAATGTATAAAACTTGATGCATGAAACAATTTAATCTTCTCATATGTACAATAGTTACAACTCCATGCAAAATTTTTCGAACGTAACAAAAGATTTTGTATGGAGATGCAACTACATATTTGAAGATTAAATTGTTTCACGCACCAAGTTCTGCGTTATTAGACTCTTAATGCCCGATTTATTATTTCCGGATTATCGTTTTTTAGATTGAAGAATCTTCATATAGTATATGTCAATTTTAAAATAAATTAACTTTCAGTATATGTCAATTTTAAAATAAATTAACTTCCAATATCAGGGGCCTTCGATATAGCGCCACGTTTATACTTTCTAAAGGGATATAATTAAATTCTAAAAATTCAAAAAATTTCCCTGAGTACCAGTAAAATTCCATTAAAATCCATGATTTTCAAGGGCAAAAATGAAATTCCCTGAGAATTCCAGGTTTTCCTGGTTTTTTCTAGTAGCACCCACCCTGGAGAGAGGGAGGGAGGGAGAGAGAGAGCCGTAACAAGACGCTATTTTCCTCGTTGGTGACGAGGAAAATAAACTCGGAGAACGTCAACGATAACAGGTGCATATGCGCAAAGGGGTAACACAGGCACAGTAGAGGGAGAGACAAAGTACTTGGGCGCGCACGGAATCGCAAGGCCTTGCCGTCGTCGCGACGGAGGATATAATAAATATTCTGGTAAATGTGCCCGCCGCCGCGTTCTCGAGGACGGCGATATTTCACGCGTCGCGAGATGAGCGCGCGGCACGCATGCGGATTTATGCAGCAAATTGTTTTTTCGCTGTTCCTGTTTGCGCGAACGTTCCAAGCTCTCACAGGCCGAGGCTGCTCGCGGCCCCCCGAGCACACGCGCGCGTATGCGAGCGTAAGCGAGCCCACGCCGATATAGGGAGGAAGATGAATACGATAAAAACTTAATTGCCCGAAGGATAGATAGATAGGTCTATCTGGTTCTCCTTCGCGCGGTGCAGGTTTGCAATACCATGCGTGATTAATGAAGGGGAAGGGGAGGAGGGGGGGGGAATTTGTCCGATACATCAGCTGCATTCGCGCGCCCTCGAAAAACGAATGACGATTCGATCGATTCACGCTCCGCTCATTTCTCCCCCC